GTATGACATCACCAACGTCTTAGATGGAATCGACCTGATTGAAAAGAAGTCTAAGAACAATATTCGATGGATAGGATCTGATTTTAGCAATTTTGGAGCAGTGCCCCAACAGAATAAGCTGCAGGAGGAGCTGTCTGACTTATCAGTGATGGAAGATGCCCTGCTGCTGCTGCTAAGTCGCTTCAGTCGTGTCTGACTCTGTGCGACCCCATAGACGGCAGCCCACCAGGCTCCCCCGTCCCTCCGATTCTCCAGGCAAGAAAGCTGGAGTGGGTTGCCACTTCTCCAATGCATGAAAGTGAAAAGTGAAAGTGAAGTCGCTCAGTCGTGTCCGACTCTGTGCGATCCCATGGACTGCAGCCTACCAGGCTCCTCCGTCCATGGGATTTTCCAGGCAAGAGTACCAGAGTGGAGTGCCATTGCCTTCTCCGGAAGATGCCCTAGATTAGTTAATTAAGGATTGTGCTCAGCAGTTGTTTGAGTTAACAGATGACAAAGAAAATGAAAGACTAGCATATGTGACATATCAAGACATTCACAGCATCCAAGCTTTCCATGAACAGATTGTAATTGCAGTTAAAGCGCCGGCAGAAACCAGACTGGATGTTCCAGCTCCCAGAGAGGATTCCATCATAGTACATATTAAGAGCTCCAAAGGACCCACTGATATTTATTTATGTGAAGTGGAGCAGGGTTCCCACTCAATTAATAAAACGTCAGACAGCGTAGGGACCTCTTCATCCAAAAGCAAGCCTCTGGAGCACCCTCAACCTGATAAAGAAGAAAATTCTCCACAGCAAAGTGAAGAAGTGCTTGAAGTGGCCAACTGATGGTGTTCGAGGTACCATGCACTGAGTCTCTTGGACTCCTGTGTGGACGAAGATCCTCAGAGCAATAAATCGTTCCTGCTATTTTCTCATGCTTGATAGCTGCAAGAAGGCCAGGAGCACCTCCAAGCACTTTGCTCCTTAGATTCCTGGATAATGATGGTTTCTGCATTTGAAAAGAACTCTTTTTATAATTATTCACTGCTTTTTTGCCACATTACCACTCTGTGACTCAGTTTACTCAGTAGTTTACCATTAGACTGTGAGCTCCTTGAGGGACTTTGTCTTAATCATTGTTAAGCCCAGCGCCTTGTGCCACTCCTGGCAATTGAAAAGCGCTTGATAAATGTTTGAACAAATCAGGTGAGTGAGTGAGTGAATGGTAGAATTAGACTGATAATACTTGGCTCATACAAGATTCTTATATTGTTCAGATTCATATTGTAAACTTCTCTCATTTTCAAAGAAAGGATTGAAGCAATGTGAGATTAGGACCATGTAGAAAAGAGTCAGCATAGGAATCAAAAATCAACATGCTGGAAAATCATGCCAAGTATTTAGGATTCGCACACCTCCAAGCTCCAGTGGCTTTTGTCCCTCAGCTGAACACCACCCTCCTCCCTCCTCACAGTCCCTACCGGCTGCCTCTGCAGGCCTTAGCCACGAGGCAGAAGTTGTGTGTATAGGTCAAGTGCTCCGCGGACGATTCCAGGCTCTGCATTGTAGATTTGGCAGCTGTCAGTTACGTGTGATGGCTAAACATGGGAGTGGATGAGGCCACCTAATAAGAGGGTACCAGCAGGAGAAGAGGAAAGGGCCGTTGGCATTTATTTTAAGGGGAGGTACCCACTCCAGTTTCTTTCCTGGAGATTTCCATGGGGGTCACTGAGTTGGACGTGACTGATAGACTTAACACTTTCACCAAAGAAAAAGCCTTTCCCAAGAGAGAAAAAAGAGAGGAGGAGGGAAAAAACGTCTGAAGAAGGTGGTGTCCCCAAAACCCACACAGGAAGTATGGCCACAGGTGATAGCGTTGTTTCTAAGCAGCATTTCCTTACTTGTGAAATGTGACAAGTGTTCTACTTTGCAAATCGTTCTGAGAGTAAAAGGAGATGGTGTAAATGAAAGTCCTCTGTAAACTGTAGACGTGTTACATAAATGAATCTTTTTCATCAAAAAAAAATACATGCAGAGTACATCATGAGAAACGCTGGGCTGGATGAAGCACAAGCTGGAATCAAGATTGCCAGGAGAAATATCAACAATCTCAGATATGCAGATGACACCACCCTTATGGCAGAAAGTGAAGAAGAACTAAAGAGACTCTTTATGAAAGTGAAAGAGTGAAAAAGTTGGCTTAAAACTCAACATTCAGAAAACTAAGATCATGTCATCTGGTCCCATCACTTCATGGCAAACAGATGGGAAACAGTGGGAACCAATGAGAGACTTTGCTTTCTTGGGCTCCAAAATCACTGCAGATGGTGACTGCAGTCATGAAATTAAAAGATGCTTGCTTCAACCTAGACAGCATATTAAAAAGCAGAGATATTACTTTGCCAACAAAGGTCTGTCTAGTCAAAGCTATGGTTTTTCCAGTAGTCATGTATGGATGTGAGAGTTGGACTATAAAGAAAGCTGAGCACCAAAGAATTGATGCTCTTGAACTGTGGTGTTGGAGAAGACTCTTGAGAGTCCCTTGAACTGCAAGGAGATCCAACTAGTCAATCCTAAAGGAAATCAGTCCTGAATATTCATTGGAAGGACTGATGCTAAAGCTGAAGCTCCAATACTTTGGCCACCTGATGCAAAGAACTGACTCACTGGAAAAGACCCTGATGCTGGGAAAGATTGAAGGCAGGAGAAGGGGACGACAGAGGATGAGATGGTTGGATGGCATCACTGACTCAATGGACATGAGTTTGAGTAAATTCTGGGAGTTGGTGATGGACAGGGAGGCTTGGCATGCTGCAGTCCATGGGGTCGCAGAGTCAGACATGACTGAGCAACTGAACTGAACTGAACTGATGTTCTATTAAGTTGCCACGATCACAGAGTGAGCCAATACTAAACCATTGCTCCGGGGGAAATACAAGGTTAGGTTCCCGCAAGCCTCCATTCACAACCAAGAATCAATACGTAACCTTCTATTATGTGTGCTTCTGTTTAAAGACACCTTATTGACTATATATTGTTGACTGATTAACACTGAACTCAGCCAACAGCACTACATCTCAGGCCTGAGGAAGTTTCTCCAACACATACTTTCTCCAAAAGGCACCTTACAGCCGTCTTGCACTTAGGAACACTGAACAGCACTTCACTATGCCTGGGGGCATTTAAAACAGCAAGGTCACCAACAAAAAGCACAAAATGTGGCACTAAACTGGCCTCAGGAAGGACATTTGTTTGCAGTAGGAGAGTTGAAGCAAGAAAGCAGAGCATTGTCTTGTTCACCCTCAGCCGGGAGCACGTGCATACCCACAAATGATGGTGCGAGCACCACAGTTATAAATAAATTTAGTGAGTAGGTGAATTCGCTGATCCAGAATCCACAGATGATGAGGATTGCCGGTAATAACAAATACACTTTTATGGAAACTTCTTACTCAGAAGAGTCAAACACCAATATTCTACCACTGAACCCTTTCCCAGAGTAGTTTAACATGGAGCACCTTACAACTTATAAACTGTCATTTAGAAAGGAAATTAAATCTCATTTCCGTAATGGATAAGAGAGTGATGGGTTTCATCATTTTATTTAATGTATTTATCATCTTCAGCAAAATCCATCTCTTTTTATTATTCAATTAAATTCAGCCAAGCAAGACACAATCTCCACCAGGAGAACATGGAGATGGGCGGGATGATATGAGGTAAAGAAACTTACAGTCCTCTTGGGTGTGGGAGGGGAGGTTCAGAAAATTCATCTTAATACAAGTGGAATATGATCAAGGCCACCATAAAGATCTAACATGTATGAGACTAGAAAAAACCTAATACTATGGAGGCCACATGAAAGAGAAAGGGTATCCTCTTGGGACTGTCTGGAAGATATGAAGGAGATGGTTAAGAAATGAACAGATCTTAAAGGATTAGTAAAATGGCAGCTGGAGCTGTGGGATGGGGTGTTGAGAATGTCTTGATACCAGAAGCAGAAGAGCACAGTAGGGAGACCTCTGAGATCTGGGTCAGAACTCAGCACGCATGTAGGGGAGGAGGAAGGCATGGTTTCCATTATTGCTTAAAGCAAGGCACAGAGGCCCTGAAGTGATCAGAGAAGAGAAGTGGAAGGCAAATGGCTAAGGGAGGAAGGGAAATCCATCCAATGATCTTAATCCTTCATACTGTTTTCAGAAGCTTCTAGGTTTATTCTATTTTCACACTGCAGTGTTTAACTCTTTACCCGCTCATCTTTCACCTCCTTAACTAGACAATATCCTAGATGTAAGCTTCCCTGGTGGCTCAGCTGGTAAGGATTCTGCCTGCGATGCAGGAGACCTGGGTTCAATCCCTGGGTTGGGAAGATCCCTTGAAGAAGGGAATGGCTCCCCACTCCAGTATTCTGGCCTGAAGAAGTCCATGGACTGTATAGTCTGTGGGGTTGCAAAGAGTCAGACATAACTGAGTGACTCTCACTTTCAAGCAGCAGTCATGCCTCATTCTTCCTCAGCTTCCCTCCCTCTGCCTCTGTCCTCTCTCCCTAATACATACACACACAAACATACGCACACACACACACACTAGCGTACAAAAGATGACCTGAACCGTGGCTTCATGTCACCACACATCAATAAATATTTATTCATTCAGTAATGGGCTTGACAAACACACTAAGCCCTGGTCTGTTTTCCTCAGGGAGGAGGTGACTAAACTTTGTTAGGAACTGTCCCTACATTTTCCCTGCAATACATGTGTCGGGAAGATTCCCTGGAGAAGGGAATGGCAACTCACTCCAGTATTCTTGCCTGAAGAATTGCATGGACAATATAAAACAGACATTATTAATACAATTCTATTAACAGCCAGTCTATAGCCAGGAACTTATTGATTAACTTTGGCCTATTATTTATTGCTTCTAAATTTGAATTTTCTATTAGAACAGAGTATTAATTTTAAGAACAGAGGTAAATTTTAAAATACACACTTTTGCAGTCAAACTGTTTTACTTACTGTTTCAAAACCTCGGTGTGGGTGATCAGGAAATCCACCTGGTCTACCGCCTTTAAATTCATCAAATAGTAAAAATGGATCCAGATTTTTTAACTGAAATAAAAATAAAACCAAGCAGATTAGATATGCCTTTTAAGTCACACTACTTGGGGCTACATTCATAAACAGATCTAATGAATCTCATTAAAAACGACTTAGCTAATAAGCAACTTTTTGCAATACAAAATGCTTTCAGGAAAGAACTCCTTACATACATACACACACACACACACACACACAGATTCATTAAGTTAAACAGTTGACATTTTATGAGAAGTGGACAAATGATTCATGATCATCTAAGATCTAAGTAGTCAAGCACAAACAAGATACAGTCCAAAAAGATTCATAATCTCATGGGGGAACACACTAGAACATCAATTACTGTGCTATGATGATAAATGCTCTGGAGGAAGTTAAAATATAGGAGAGCGGGGAGACATTAGAGCAGGTTCAGCCAGGGAGGTGTCACTTGAGCTGAGTCTTGAAGTACATATATGTAGAAGTTAATCAAGAAGAAACAGGAGAAGGAAGAATATTCTAAATAAAAGAGCAGAGAAGCAGCTTGGTAAGATTGAAAACCTGTGAGGAAACTACTCTTGTCAAGCAAAAATGCACATGGAACTATGATGAGAGATGGGCTGAGGACAGGGGTTTTATCCTGAAGGTGATGGATTTAATCAGGTTGACATGATAAGATCTAGAAAGACCATTCTAGCATATATGTGGAAGATGGTCTGGAAAAGGAAGAGATGGGAGGCAAAGAGTATTTAGAAGGTGCTTTCAACAGTCTAGCTCAGTTGGTAAAGAATTCGCCTGCAATGCAGAAGACCCCCAGTTTGATTCCTGGGTCAGGAAGATCCCCTGGAGAAGGGACAGGCTACCCACTCCAGGATTCTTGGGCTTCCCTGGTGGCTCAGCTGGTAAAGAATCCTCCTGCAATGTGAGAGACCTGGGTTCAATCCCTGGGTTGGGAAGATCCCCTGGAGAAGGGAAAGGCTACCCACTCCAGTATTCTGGCCTGGAGAATTCCATGGACTGTATAGTCCATGGGGTTGCAAAGAGTCAGACATGACTGAGCGACATTCACTTTCACTTTTCAACAGTCTGGGAAACAACAAAGGCCAGGTCTAAGGCAATGGCAGTAGTGATGGAGAATGGGAAAAAGGAAGAGCATTAGATCACTTCCAGATTTCTAGCTATGGGGCCTGGGAGGGTGGTAAGGCCATCCAGAAATACAAGAAACGTAACAGAAGAAGGACCCATGAAGTAGGCATGGTGACTTCATTCTAGGTCACATTGAGTTTGAGATATGTACATAAATGATATATATATATAAACAGTACTATGAATATTCAGTGTCTAGTATATTGTGCAAAAACTAGACAGCAAAGGAAGATAAATCTTGAGCCCAAGTGAGAGGCAAAAGCAGGGCTTGCTGTCATCAGCATATCTTTATGGTCACCTTGGTTATCCTTGGCCATTTGCTATTCTACACAAATTTTAGAAAACAGCTACAAACAAAAATGTTGGACTTTTGGTTGGAACTGCTTTGAATGTATGGATCAATTTGGGGAGAAATGATATTTATATAGTATTGAGTTTTCCTATTCATAAACATGGTTACTTCCATTTATTTAGGTCTTTGAAATGTCTTTCAATAGGATTTATAATTTTCTCCATACAGATTTTGCATATATCAAATTCTGACTAACATACATTTTATGGTATTATAAATAATGTTTGAGATATAATTGACATATTATATTAGTTTCAGATGTACAAGGTAATGATTTGATATTTGTAAATACTGTGAAATGATCACACACTACCATCTGTCCCTATAAACAAGTACAAAAAAATGAATATTTTTAAACAGTCTGCTGCTAGGAATCAAAAATGCAAATAGAAGGACTTCCCTGGTGGTCTATTGTTTAAGACTTCACACTTCTACCACAGGAGACACAGGTTCAATTCCTTGTTGTAAACTAAGATCCTACATGCCATATGGCATGGCAAAAAATAAAATAAAAAAATTTTAAACAGAAGTGTGACTAGAAAGGTGATTTTGAACACTGCTAAGCTCTTATTGATTTTAATAATTCATCTGTAGCTTCTGTTGGATTTTCTTTGCAGACATTCACATCACCAGTATATTTTTTGTTTTATTTATTTTTATTTATTTTAATTGGAGGCTAATTACTTTACAATATTGTGGTGGTTTTTGCCATACATTCACATGAATCAGCCATGGGTGTACATGTGTCCCCCATCCTGAACCCCCCTCCCACCTCCCTCCCCATCCCATCCCTCTGGGTCATCCCAGTGCACCAGCCCCAAGCACCCCATCTCATGCATTGAACCTGGGCTGGCGATCTGTTTCACATATGATAATACACATGTTTCAGTGCTATTCTCTCAGATCATCCCACCCTCGCCTTCTCTCACAGGGTCCAAAAGTCTGTTCTTTACATCTGTCTTTCTTTTGCTATCTCACATATAGGGTCATCGTTACCGTCTTTCTAAATTCCATATATATGCGTTAATATACTGTATTAGTGTTTTTCTTTCATACTTACTTCGCTCAGTATAATAGGCTCCAGTTTCATCCACCTCATTAAAACTGATTGAAATGCATTCTTTTTAATGGCTGAGTAATATTCCATTGTGTATATGTACCACAGCTTTCTTATCCTTTCATCTGGCAATGGACATCTAGGTTGCTTCCATGTCCTGGCTATTGTAAACAGTGCTGCAATGAACATTTCATCAGTATATTTTATCAATAAGCTTTTGGCCAACAGTTTACAAAGTATTGGTTTGGCAAAAACGTTCTTTTGGTGTTTTCCACACCATCTTGCCACTCAGTTCAGTTCAGTCGCTCAGTCGTGTCCAACTCTTTGCGACTCCATGAACTGCAGCACACCAGGCTTCCCTGCCCATCATCAACTCCCAGAACTTGCTCAGACTTATGTCTATCGAGTCAGTGATGTTGTCCAACCATCTCATCCTCTGTTGTCCCCTTCTCCTCCTGACTTCAATCTTTCCCATCATCAGGGTCTTTTCCAATGAGTCAGTTCTTCGCATCAGGTGGCCAAAATATTGCAGCTTCAGCATCAGTTCTTCCAATGGGTATTCAGTCAGTACTGATTTCCTTTAGTATTGACTGGTTTGATCTCTCTGCAGTCCAAAGGACTCTCAAGATTCTTCAACACCACAGTTCAAAAGCATTGATTCTTCGGCACTCAGCTTTCTTTATGGTCCAACTCTCATGGGAAAAACCATAGCTTTGACTAGACAGACCTTTGGTGGCAAAGTAATGTCTCTGCTTTTTAATAATGCTGTCTAGGTTGGTTATAGCTTTTCTTCCAGGGACCAAGCATCTTAATTTCATGGCTGCAGTCACCATCTGCAGTGATTTTGGAGCCCAAGAAAATAAAAGTCTCTCGTTGTTTCCATTGTTTCCCTATCTATTTGCCATGAAGTGATAGGACCAGATGTCATGATCTTAGTTTTTTGAATGTTGAGTTTTAAGCCAAATTTTTCACTCTCTGCTTTCACTTTCATCAAAAGGTTCTTTAGTTCTTCTTCTCTTTCTGCCATAAGGGTGGTGTCATCTGCATACATGAGGTTGTTGATATTTCTCTCGGTAATCTTGATTCCAGCTTGTGCTTCATCCAGGCATTTTGCATGACATACTCTGCATATAAGTTAAATAAGCAAGGCGACAATATAAAGCCTTGACGTACTCCTTTCCCAATCTGAAACCAGTCTGTTGTTCAATGTCTGGTTCTAACCATTGCTTCTTGACCTGCATACAGATTTCTCAAGAGGCAGGTAAGGTGGTCTGGTATTCCCATCTAAGAATTTTCCAGAATTTGTGGTGATTCACACAGTCAAAGGCTTTGACATAGTCAATAAAGCAGAAGCAGATATTTTTCTGGAACTCTCTTGCTTTTTTGATGATCCAGTGGATGTTGGCAATTTGATCTCTGGTTCCTCTGCCTTTTCTAAATCCAGCTTGAACATCTGGAAATTCTCAGAAGATCTTACCACTACAACTCACCAAAGGCTCAGGTGACCATTACCATTTTTTCAGTTCAGTTGCTCAGCCGTGTCCAACTCTTTGCAACTCCATGGACTGCAGCACACCAGGCTTCCCTGCCCATCATCAACTCCTAGAACTTGCTCAGACTCATGTCTATTGAGTTGGTGATGCCATCCAACAATCTCATCCTCTGTTGTCCCCTTCTCCTTCTGCCTTCAATCGTTCCCAGCACCAGGGTCTTTTCCAATGAGTCAGTTCTTCACATCAGGTGGCCAAAATACTGTAGCTTCAGCTTCACCATCAGTCCCTCCAGTGAATATTCAGGACTGACTTCCTTTAGGATTGACTGGTTTGATCTCCTCGCAGTCCAAAGAAGTATGTACATTTACTACTGCATACTTAGTAGACTAAGTATGTATAAACATAAGTAATTTCTATAGGCACTGAGAAACCAAGATAATTGTGTGACCTACTTTACTGCAATATTTGCTTTATTGAAATGGTGTGGAACTGAACCCCCCAATACCCCTGAGGTATGCCTGCTTGAGAGTGGCCCAAGGAAAATCACATCAGAAAGGACTGCCTGGCAGAAGGAGTGGGGCATAGAAACAAAGGCAGATGAGTGATGGATTTCCTTCCTGTTGGAAGCACACCCACCAACATGATGATATACAATCATTCCAATTATAGCCTGGCTACCCTGTCCATATACAGTATAATGGACGGTACCAGTCAGCCCAGTTCCATCTCTTGTTCACCATTCATCACCAAAACAATATTATAAACTCCTCTACCTCCATATTTACAGCAACAAGGAACGTGTTACCTAGAGCCACTAATGTTAAACACTGTTGTAAATTCTACCCTACAATAGCTCTGTGCTCTAGTTTTTTAATGAGATTTTATTTTTCACTGATACAGTCTTGGTGCAAAAAGTTTGAAAAGTAACCACCTTGAAATGAGTGATGTTTTCCTTCTCTGCTGGGAGAGCTGGGGTCCATCTTTTGGCAAGCTGGCAGTGTGTGGAGTGCTAACAAGTATGGTAAGAATCTAAATGTTTAGAAGTAGGGCCAGCATCAGCAAAACGTCTAAAAAATAATAAATACTGGAGAGGGTGTAGAGAAAAGGGAACCCTCCTACACAGTTGGAGGGAATGTAAATTGATACAGTCACTATGGAGAACAGTGTGGAGGTTCCTTAGAAAACTAAAGATAGAGCTAACATATGATCCAACAATCTCCTAGGAATATGTCCGGTCAAAACTACAGTCCAAAAAGATACATGCATCCCTATGTTCATTGTAGCGCTATTCACAACAGCCAAGACATGGAAACAACCTAAATGTCCATCAACAGAGAAATGGATAAAGAAGATGTGGTATAGACACACACACACACACACACACACACACATACAATGGAGTATTGCTCAGCCATGAAAAAGAATGAAATAATGCCATTTGCAACAACGTGGATGGACCTAGAAATAATCATACTAAGTGAAATAAGTCAGAAAGAAAGACAAACACTGTATGATATCACTTAAATGTGGAAATCTAAAATATGACACAAATGAACTTATCTACAAAACAAAAACAGAATCATGTACATTGAAACAGACTGGTGGCTGCTGACAGAGAATGGGTTGGGGGAGAAATGGAGGAGGTTGTTGGGGTTAGCAGATAGAAACTTTTATATATAGGAAGGATAAACAACAAGGTCCTCCTGTAGAGCACAGGGAACTATATTCAATATCCTGTGATAAACCATAACAGAAAAGAATATTAAAAAAGAATGTATATATATGTATGTGTATATAACTGAATCACTTTGCTGTAGAAGAGTAATTAACACAACATTGTAAGTCAACTATATGACAATAAAAATTTTTCAAATATTTAAACAAAAAATAAAAAAGTTGGGCTAGGAATAAGAGAATGATGGGAATAATGGTATGCTCATACACTGGACTATGTCATAACTACTTAAATGGTATTTATGAAGAATTTATAAGAATGTGGGAGGTGCTTGGCTACCCTGTTAAATGAAAAACTAAGGACACAAAATTGTTTACACTGTACAACTAAAACATATAACTAAACAGAGGTAAAAAAAAAACACTCTGTTTTAACAGTGATTAAACCAGGGTGATGGCATTAGGAATGATTCCTACTCACTTGTTTTTCCTTAGAGTAGAGACGCATCTGGAGCATGGTAAACCCTTTGAGTTAGAAGAATGTGGGGGTCTCTAAATCACAGGTTTTTCAGCCATGGACTTTTAACTGGGAAAATTTTATATTTTACATATATCTATCCATATATAGAATTCAGGGCGACTGTAAACTTGGCTGGGAACAAAAAATATATCTTTATTTTTACTAACTTCCAACTGAATTTTTTTTTCTTCTGAAATTTTTTTGTAGTAAAACAAACATAACATGAAATTTACCATTTTAACCATTTTAAAGCATACAGTTCAGTGGCATTAAGTACACTCATACTGCTGTGCAACAAGTCACCACCATCCATCTCCAGGCTGAAATGTAACATTTCCTTTAATTATGAGTGCAGTCAAAGAATCACAGGAAATTACCAGGACCTGTGACTTTGTCACCAATAGAAATCAAAGCTCTTTTCATAGCACGTCACAGTTGCTGCAGGTATTGAACTATGTTCCTGCTCCTCAAAGCTTTGAAATTAAGTAGTTATGAGAACTGCAACTACATCTTCTTACTGAATGTTACTAGAATTATTTAAGTTACTAACTACAAATTTGTTTTTGCAATATTTTGCTAACTGTATTTCAATACAAAGATTTTCCTTTGTGTGTAATCCCATGTATTTTATACATTTTAAAAACATTATTCTGAGAAGGAATTTATAAAACAACACTCTGAGAGTGAACTGATGGATTTCAGCAGACTACCAAAGGGGTTCCTAAGATCAGAAAAATTAAGAACCCCTGAGCATATGTGTTTCTGACAGATGGAGTAATTAAAGTATTAGCTACACTCAACATACAGTAATGGGTTACTGACAGGTGTTTGAATTCTTCTGCTGGCAATGTGGCCTAGAAGAATATGATACCACATCCATCTGCATCTTCCCAACATCCACTGTGCATTTAGCCCTTAGAATAATCTTGTTTGCCTGTATCCCTTTGAAAAACAATATTTGACGGACCTCAAAAGACATTCTCAGAGGAACAGGAAGCTAATGGTGGGAAGAGTATGAGAATATTAGAGCAGAATTTAAGAAGAGGAACAAACCAGCCTCACTTTTCAAAATTAATCCATTTCCCTAATATACTTGTCCTTTATTCAAAAAATATTTTTGGGAGATGCTCAACATCACTAAGTAGTAAAATGCAAATCAAAACCACACGGAGATATCACCTCACACCTGTCAGGATGGCTATTATAAAAAAAAAAAAACAAGAAATGACAAGTGTTGGTGAGGATGTGGAGAAAGGGGAACCCTGCTACACTACTGGTTAGAATGTAAATTGGTACATCCACTATGGAGAACAGTATGCCAGTTCCACAAAAACATGGTAGTATAACTACCATGTCATCCAGCAATTCTACTTCTGGGTATTTATCCAAAGAACATGAAAATGCTAACTTGAAAAGCTGTATGCATCCCCATGTTCATTGCTGCATCATTTACAATAATCATGGAAAGAACCTAAGTGTTCAATGACAGATAAATGGATAAAGAAAATGTGGTGTATATGGGATACAATGGGATATTATTCTACTATAAAAAAAGAATGAAATCTTGCTGTGTGCAACAACATGGGTGGACCTTGAGGTCATTATGCTGAGTGAAATAAGTTAGACAAAGACAAATACTGTATGATCTCATTTATATGTGGAATTCAAAATCAAACAAAAAAAAAAACAAGCTCATGGATGCAGAGAACAGATTGGAGGTCGCCAGATGTAGGGGGTGGGGGTGACAGAAATGGATAAAGGGGGCCAGAAGGTACAAACTTTCAGTTATAAAATAAATGAGTCACGGGGAGGTAATGTACAGCACAGTGACTGTAGTTAATACTGTATTACATATTTGAAAGTTGCTAAGAGAGTAGATCTTAAAAGTTCTCATCACAATATTATGGTGACAGATGTTAACTAGACTTGTGATCATTTTGCAATATATACAAATACTGAAGCTAATATTACCTGAAATTAATATCACCTGAAACTAATATTATATGTCAATTATACCTCAATAAGAAGAATTCTGCTTTTGGAATCTGGAGCTGGGCACTGTATTCTATGGATTAGAATCACCATTTCCTTCTTCTGCACGTAAGATTTTCTTTTCTCCAAGTCCCATATCCCCCAAAATTTTCAAATAAAACTGCTTTCTAATGTTGAAAGATGTCTGCCTGACCTACAATCACCTTGTCTGAGGGAAGCCCCCACTTAGCCCCCACCAAGAGGTCCAAAGAGTCCGGTCTCAGCCTCCTCTCTAAGAACTCAAAATGCCTGGCAAATGGCTGACTGCCCCAGGGTAGAGACCTGACCCAAGAGGAGGCAATGGGATTCTCTCTCCTAGGAATTTGGGGTTGGGCCCCAGCACCTGTCCCTGGTGCTTTGACTGGTAGGCATGTAAACCTAGGGGATCTAGCAGGTATGTCTGGGCATGTGCACATGGGGGCTGACAGACCAACTCAGGATAGGATGTGGGTGTTCGGAGCGGGGCACAGACGTGTCAGTCAGGATCACTGGATCCACAGCACAGAAATCCCCTTGGGGTGGGGCTGGTCCCAAAGAGACCCCAATTGCTAAGTTTAGAGTTGGTTCCTAAGGTGTCCCACGGGGCAGCTCATGATTGTCTCATGCCCTCTCTTCCCAAGCTTACCCTCAGGGTCCCACCAGTCCCTTCTGCAAAAATAAAAAAAAAAGCATGAAACAGCCACCCGACCAGCCTACCTCGGGTCTCCCGATGCTTCTGCGGACTCGCGCTCCGACTCCTTCCGACTGCTCCCGGCTGAGCACTGAGACGGTAACCTTCTTGGAGGACATCATGTCCGAGGTTAGAAGGCGAGCGCTCCGAGACTGAGCTGTAGAGGGTGCAGGTAAGAGAATGGACAACAAGACAGAGACGTCATCAAGGGGGGACCGGCCACCCACGGACTGTAAAACACAGGATGCGAAATTCGCCCCACACCCCGCCCCAAATATTGCATTGGCCAACCCAATATTAACAAGTATACATTTTAAATTGCTTACTCTGCACAAGACCTGGGCTAGATACTTTCAAACAACACTAATGATGGTGGACGCCTGTGAGTGCTAAGGAGGTTCCCAGCACCCTACTAATGATTTACAGTGGTTATCTGGTGTAGTCCTAGGACCACCTTTGACCACAGCTAGTAATAACAGCTGCTGGGCGTTTATTTAGAACCTGTAATGAGCACTTTACCTGCTTCACCTGATCTCTGCCCCTACCTCTACCCCGTGTTGCCCCAGAAGGAAGCTGCTACCATGAGCTGAGAGAGATCTGGGTATCTCTTATCTGAATGTGCAAGGATCTGGCACTGAAAGGGATCTTTGAGGGTCATCAAATTCAAAGACTCATCTATCCCTAAAGTTCAGGGTCAACTTAAGTGGCAAGAAATCTTCGAAGCTTTCTCTGAAGTCTTCCAGAGCACAGAAGAGCACAGGAAACTCACGGAGGAGGTGCCCTTGACCATGCAATCTGTATTCTACTCAGGACCCCCAATTCAAAAGTGCTTCCTCTTTCTGAGTCTAAAGTCTACTCGAGGGCATATCACAAAACAAGTATAATTAATCCATTTTCCACTTCAAATGCTTGCAGACAATACACGCAATCCCTAAAGTTCTTCTGCAAATAACATATAATCCATTCCTTCAAAGTTTCCCACTCAAACCAAGAGAGAGATTTTAGCAACCACAGACTCTGTAGCCACAGTCTGGGTCTGCATCCCACGTTCACCACGTATCAGCTGTGTGATCTGAGGCCAACTGCTAAGCCTCCCTGTTCCTCAGTTTTTCCACCTGTGAATAGGAGTAATAAGACGGCGTAGATTCTGCAAAAGAGTGTGGTCAGTGTCCTGAGAATGTGAGCTGCTGCTCCTCAGAGCACTCTGTGCAGCAAAACCCTCCGGCCAGTCAAGGCTCCCTCTAAATGTGCCCTCCCCTGGGCTGCCACCTTTAGTGAACTCAATCCTCCACCTGTGAGCATCTAGAAAGTATTTTACGTCCACCCCCCGCCCCCAATTTGGACTATTTCTGGATCTTCCCAGACTCCTCCAATTAAGTTCTATGCACGTGCACCACTGACGAGGTACTTACCAGATCTTAGTGCTCCGCAGAAAGAAAAGTCGTCTGCGACTTGCACCAAACTGCAGAGGACTTCTTAAGCATCTCTGGCCATCGCCCTAGGAGACTCCCCTGGGAGTCTAAAGCAGGCCAGAGAGGGCGGGGTCCGCGCCGCCAGGCCCGGCGGGCGCCAGGTACTCTAGCCGGGTGAAGGACGGCTACGGCAGCCCGTGAGGCGGCGGCGGCGGGGGGCGTGGAGAGGCCGGGCTCGGAGGGCGCCCCGCGGCTGCCTCACCGTGACTCAGCGCTTCGCTGCCAGTGGCCGCAGGGAGGCTGGAGGCGGGAGTCCACGGGTCTCGGAGGCCCTGGGCAAGGGCGATACTCCTTGATTGACAGTCCGCCGCCGCGCGGATCCCTTCACCCCGCCCCCCGCCACAGCTCCGCCCCAGCCGGCTCGGCTGCCCTTGCGATGGGCGGGAGGGGAAGTGTCACTAGGAGAGGCGCTCTGGGCCCTAGGAGGGGTGGATAGGCCTAGCAGGTGCTGTGTTCAGGCCAAAGGTCCCAACTGGACCTCCTCGGAAAACTTGTCTTTGCCTGGAGTCGGCTACCTCCATCATTTCTTGGGCCTTGTGTGACCTTGGGCAGGTAGCTCAGCCTCTCTGTGCCTCGAGCGCCTCCACTGTAAAACGGGCGTGGTGACGGTAATACGATACACGCTGATGGGGTTGTGATGAGAATTAAAGGAGCTGGGCAGGCCCTAAGCACTGCTCAGTTATTGCTTACATCAATAAGTTGACGGCTGTTCGCCCTTTACAGGGCGATGCAGAGTTGCAGAAGCCTCTACGGATTTCTATTCTGTAAACAGCAGAAATCTCATTGCTTGCTTTTGAAGAAGGAAAGTGCCAGATAGTAAATATTTTCGACTTTGCACGTGTTCTCTGAGGCGGCTGAGGCAGTTGGCCTTTGTAGCAACAAGCCATCCAGAGACAGCATGTAGAATAAGTGTGTGTGGCTTCGTTTCAATAAAACATTAATTATGGCTGCTGACATTTTAATTTCATGGAATTTTCACTTATCATGAAGTGTTACTCCTCTCTTGATTTTTTATTTCAAGTACTTAAAAGTGTAAAAACCATTGTTAAGCTCACAGGCTCTAAAAAACAAGGTAGTGGCCTACACTTGGCTGCAGGCCTAGTTTAGGGACCTGCTCTAACAGTCATGTAGAGGAAGGGCTTTTCCTCAGATTACTTACATGTCAACATCACCGGGGCTCAAATCACCACCTTACTTCGATGAGTCAAAGCTAAGTGAGATAATATACAAGAATATTAAAAGTGCCATGAAATAATCTTGCTGCTCTTCTTCATTATACTTAACCTTTGCAACTGTCTCCAAAGAAAACAGAAGCAGGGACTCTCTGTCTGGCACTTGGCAGTCTTTGGTAAATACTTCTGCATTCCCTACCAAGTAGTTCAACGTGTAGCCAATTGCCTGAGCCTGAAACCCAAGCCACCATTTGTCCACCTTGAAATCCTGTGGATTCTGTTCCTATTATCTCTTAAATATGTCCAGTGCTTCCCACCATCTATCTTCTTTGGTAGTCAAACCATTCTCTAAGTCGCAGGGAAATGAACTAACCGCCTAAAACCTTCCTTGCCCTCAAGAGAAAATCCTGTGATGTCTTTAACACAGCCTCACCTTCAGCATGCTGATACTTGCTCAAGGATAAACATACACACACAGAGGTGGCCCTTCTTTCCCTTATGCTGAACTTTTTAAGGTTCTCGAATGTGCGTTCACTCTTTTGTCGACTTGCTGTGCCTCTGCCTGGAACCTTCTTTCTCCTTGATCTGGCTCATCGCCATTCATCTTTTAGCTCTCAGTTTCCACATCACTACCTCTAGGAAACCTTGCCTGTCTGTCCTCTCAAATCCAGGTGAGATGTTTGACCTGGTAAGCATGACAACTACACATTGTTATCACGATTACACATTGTTGATCAATCATTGGTTCTCCTCCTTTGGAAGAGTCTATTTTCCTAAGATGGTTCCAACAGTATCTCCCACATACACATCTTCTTCTTCAGTGTGACCTTGACACTCACCCCACCATCACAAGCGGTGTTTACTTTTCTTCCTCCTAAGTCTAGGCAGGGCCTGTGGCTGCTTTGACAGATGGAATACACTGGAAGGGACAGTGCCAGTTCTAGGTGTGGCTCTGAAGTAGCCTGGGAGCTTCTGTTTCCTGCCTCCTGGAAGTCAATTGCCTTGTAAAAGGAGTGATGACTCTGAAGACCAGCATTCTGGAAGAAGCCCATGCCACATGGAGGAGTGGTCTTGGAAGAAGAAACGCCATGTGAGGAAGGAGACAGAGGCCAAGGACACTGTGGTGCCAGATATATAGACAAGCCATCTAGGAAGTGGCTCTTCCAGGCCCAGCTGCCATCGCTGACTCCGTATGTCTAAGACATGAACACTTAACTGCGTTCTTCCCAACTTTCAGACCCACAGACTTGTGAGCAGATAAACATGGTTGTTTCAGGCCACTCAGTTTCCAGATTATTTGTTTCATGATGACAGATAACTGAAAAATATGCTTTGATGCAAGAAAAGAGATGTGGCGGATTTCCAAAGCTCTCTGGAGTAAAGAAAGACTTCTACAAATATTTACCCTTTCAGAAAGCAAATCTGTTCATCTAAATGTTACTACCAAGGCAAGCAGCCATCCAGTAAGATAAAAATGTATTAAACTAGACTTGAGAGATGAAATGTTGTGTCTCACTGGGCAGAGCAGTAACCTCTGAAGCGCAGGGGTCAGTCCTTAAAGTTTCCTCAGTTACACATGACATTGAGAAGGATGGTTTCCTGATACAAGAAAACAGGAGAAGATGGATGCGCTCTACATTTTTACACACTTCCATATTGGACTTGCCATACTCCTGAGGATGCTCTCAGTTTACCACATTTTCCAAGCTTCCCCTGTGACTCAGAGTCCCCTCCACCTCTGAAACAGGCAGAAGAGCTTCCTTTCTTTCTTAACTCTGAGAAGGCAGTCGAGGGAGAAGCTAATTCAAAGGCGTGCATTGTCAGGGCAAGGCAGAGAAGTCTACTTGTAGGCTGTTGCACAGAAAAAAAAAAAAAAAAGTAGACCTGAAAGCTAGAAGACTTAAAATGAGGAAAAACAAGCATGGCGGCGGTGGGGGGGGGGGGGCACAAATTTTTACAAATGGAATATGCAGCATGTAACATTTCACTGTAACAGGGCCGGCTTTTGAAATGAGAAATGTGACTTTGTACGTGGAGCTGTGAGCACTTTTCACACTGTCATTTGCCATCCAGTCAGCGATGCTGAGCAGGCAGCTGGATATATGAGTGTGTAGATATGCCATCAGTTGCTAAATGATTCCAGATAGCACCATTATCTATCTTTGAGGACACCCACATTATCAACGTATTTTATGCGATCATTTTTGCTTTTTCATTCAAAACTCTTCTCAAAAATATACCTTATAGAAATACATGGACATCTTAGACATTTCATCATTTGCCATTTTTTCTCCTTCAAGCAGTCAACTCAAAAAATCTTTCTTAAAAAAACTTTTTTTCAAGATTGGTCAGGTTTCGGTAATTTGCCTTTTTAAAGCACAGTTGCTGCTGTTCATTAAATGACAAATATCTCTAGAATATTCCATATTAGGGATTCAGACTCTCTGACTCCAGGAAACGGCTCCAAGTCAGGGACTG